TAACCTGTTGTTTAAGCCAGGTAGATATAATTTAGTATGAATTTGAAAATGGGCATCCCAAGAAATATAATTTGGTAGAAGAAATTTTTTTGGAAACGTAAAAAAACCTTCTAGTAAATTTTCGACTCTGGCACACTACATCGTCGTCGGACGTATGAGAAATGTGTAAAGAACAGTGCGCATTATCAAATATGCCAAAAAATCGTCAATGCTTTGTCATCCTTGGTCAATAGTAGGCTCTGTTTGTTGACGCCTTTTCCAGGCTTCTTTGAGTTTGATGTACATCGAATCTAATTCAACATGTCTATTGATGCATGAGTCGTTAGAGTTAATAGCCTCTAAGAATTCACGGCCTTTCCTATATGGGCAGGAGCCTACAATACCGGTTGCAAACTTATCCCCAGTTTCAAGCGAATGCATGGCGACTTGAGACAGGTGGTTTTGCCTCCTTACCGCTAATTGATGTTCATGCAAACGTGTAGAGGTGGACTTTCCTGTTTGTCCACAATAAATTGCATCGCATTCGCCGCAAGGAATTTTGTAAATGACCTCTTTTTTATCCAAATTGCCAACCTTATTCTTAGGGTGAACAAGTTGCTTTCGAAGTGTGGTCGTTCGGTTGTACGCCACTTGGATCTGGCACTTCCTCGGGTGTCTTTCAACGAGTTCACACACATTTTTGATATATGGAAGTGTTAACCAACTTCTTTGATTGATTTACGAAGAAGCAGAGGTGATAGCTGGGACAACAATTTTATTCGCCTGAAATTTTGAAATTTGTCGCGGATCCAGTATTAGAGAAAATAGTAGAGACGGGTAATTCATACACAGCGAGTTGCAGTATATGTAAGATACAGTCACTATTTATGACGATTAATGGTTCTCTTATCCTATTGCCTGCTTGTGTGATGGTTGGCGTACGGGCCGTGACCTGCTGAGCTTTTATTGCACGTGCTAGCCACAGGTGCAACTCTCTGTGTATGAATTACCCGTTTGTGCTATCGTCTTCGATGATAAACGTCAGGCGAATAAACACAAATCAGAGTTGGAGTCGCACACAGGCAGGAGGCGACTCTAAGACCACTGCCACGTCGTCTATAGGATCTGGTGTAGTTGCAGACAAAGCAACTACGTGGGAGAAACTGGAAGACATCTCAAGACGCGAATAACCGAACACGCGGCAGCAATACAGAGAAATGACGTCTATTTTCAGGTTGCGGCTCATTCGACGAGACCCGGCCACACATTCAAATTTTATGAGACCAAAATTCTCGGAAGAGGTAACAATCGTGGGATTTGGCGAGTTACTTGATTTATAGTTTACGGGCCCTCCGTATATACACAAGTGCAGCGACCTGCCCAATCTACATTCGTTCCTGAGGTTCAATTTTGCCAAAGCAAGTCGCCACTCAGGGAATACATGGGCCGACGTGTCGTCTTACGCCAGTGCAAGGGAGCCAGATAGCCGAGCAATTATCACGACCAATTTTACCACGTGTGGTAAGACTTCCGCAGGTCACGGTCCGCAGGGCGGCCACCAAGGCATTTGCACATAAGCAGGCAATTATCCTCGGTAGGGGAGTCGTTAATTATAATACGTCTGCAGCAGCAAAGTGCCTGTTTTCTATGAATACGCCAACTCCCTCCGTATGAATTATGCGTTTCTGCTGGACACTGGATCCGTGAGGGATTTAAAAATGTCAGACTAATAAAATTCTTGTCCCAGTAAACACATATGTCGCTTTTAAATTTCCTCCTGGGATTCGCATGTTCCCTCGTATTCGCAATTGTTTAGGTTTTTGGCGATGGGTGGCTTATGATCCATTATGAACCATTTCGCAGTTACGCTCGAGCCCTCCTAGCCCTGGTCGGTGGTCTGGCTGTCTGACGAGGTCAGATTGGCCCGAAATCCTCCGCCAAGCCCACTCTTCCGTCTCCCCGTTTGCTATGTTCCTTGAGTGCGACTTCGTATTCGTGCCGTGCTTCCTTATTCAAAGGAAGAGGCGGACGGTCTCACCACTAAAACAGCCATTTTACTAGTCCTAACCTTCGCACGCGTATCGGAGTCCAAAACCAGGACCGGTTAGATGAATTAGGCGTGATGTCGAACGAGTTGCTGAACCTTTAGAAAAAATAACAGGATCAAGAATAAACTGGGGTTGTTTTAAATCCTTCTGTTATCCTTCTTCTATTTTCGAAAAAAAATCCTACACATACCCCTTGTCTCATCTCCACGTTTATCAGTTATTCTCGTCAGCGTGAGACAAATGTAGTATATCGTAGGAAAAACTGCCACAATGGGAGCCAAACCTGCGTTTGCGAAACTGCACAGACAAACTTTGTACCATTTCATCGTTGTTGTCCGTAGAATCACAGGCCTGCAAGTTGTGGTTGCTGTTTATATCCTTCCGACTGAGGGGCGCCGAGGCATTCGGGGAAACTGCCTCTACCCGCCGTGGCTTATAAATTATTAGACGAATCGGTCGGTGACAGCAACACAGTAGACAACAATGGAACAGAACTAGCAGAAAGCTGCATGTGAGCAAGGGTACGAGGGCCACAATGGGTCGGACGGCAGTTCTGTGAGGTGCGCAGTGCAGCAGATGGTGCCAAACCCAGTGCGTTCGATTGAGAGCATCACTTACGTCTCGGCACACCCAAACTCCTTTGTGCTCTTTTTCTGCAGATGTGTGATAATTATATACTTTTATCAGGTTTCTATAGGTGTCCCTGCAGATGGTACAAACGGTGGCATCAAAAGAAACCTTGCCCGGAGGCGGGAAATTGACAGGATCGAGGAAACTGGCTGAAGTGTTGTGTAGGAAAGGGCGGAGGCAGAGCAATGTGTCGTTCAAGTGGGCAAAAAATGAGACAGCCTGTGTATCATATGCAGTGTACTTGTAGTCGGGATAAGAGGAGGAGGCGACTGCAGAGCTTCGCAAGTCTGTTTTCACCTTACGCATCTGTCGGATCTTTGAAGGGCTGAAACGCTGTCTTCGCTCAGCCAAACAGCTCGAGCAGTGTCCACGCTGCCAGGTGTCGACCACTTTCCCGAGAATATCCCTAATGGGGCTTTGAGCCGACGAGGAATTAATGAAAGAAAGGCAGGGCAGGCCATAGTCGTTTTTAACTTGCGAATCATTCAAAGTATCATATAGTTGTTCCATTATTTCCACACACTGACCACAGAAGGCGACGGGTTGACTGTAAACGCCAAAACAGTCAAAAGCCAAACCCACAATTTCAGAAACCGTGTTGAAATATTTATCGCATTCTGTAGTTGTGAATTTAGTTCCGTCGTCAACATGCACGAACAGACTGATAATAAGAATAGATGTATACAAGGCGACGCAATCCCTCATTCGCGCTGAACTTCAGAGTTTAAAATTTACACCCCGACATGGGTCGGTCATGGGTTACATGATCAATATTGACAGTGCGCACTCATTGTGCCGCACCGAGCCAGAATGAGTTTAAAGTGACGCCGTTTATGAGTTTGGTGGAACGAATTATCAACCGCTGTTCACAACTTCATCTACCATTGGATGAAGGGGTTCGCAAAGTCTATTGTCAGCTCCCGCTGCTGTGTCCACTCCGTGGGAAAGGCGATGGACTCTATCGGTTCGGATGATCAAACGGTAATTGGAAATCACTCATTTATCCGTTCACCCGACCGCTAATGGAACTCATCTGTCCTCGCTTTGCCTGGGGTCTCGACAGAAGCCCTGACAGCCGTAAAAGCCGATAGTGCAAGCAGATAGTATTACTGGTCTGGGTGTGACTGACGGACGATGGCTACTAAGCCAAAAATGGTCATCCCAGTCTCTCTCGTCTTTGCTGGTAATGCAAACTGTAGTTGGAAATCTTGGTGGTGTGAAAATTGAGCAGTTATTCGCGTTACATGATAACTGTTCATGGTAATCTTATATGACTGTCAATGACTGACCCTGGCTCCCGGTTTCCCTTAACTCCTCGTATTCATCTATTGGTTATCTTTTACCGATTGAAGTATTCTTTTTTTGGGTACTATGGTGTTGCTAAACTGGAATAAGGAACTCCGCTCTTTCCTCTGTTTGATTTTGCCTTTTTCAATAGTCTGTGCAGGTGAATCTGACTTTCAATTGCTTTTCTGAGTAAACCACCCTACGTTTTATCGCAGGCAGACATAGATAACGCTTTTAGTGGTGACTGATTTATGAACCTTATTCAGCTGGAGCGTGCCATTTCGCGTTCATACTCCAGCCTTCCTATTTCTGGTCGGTGGTGTGGCTGCCTGACGAGCTAAGTTTGGCCCGAAATCGTCCAACA